GTATGTGCAATCTAACACAGTTGCTTGTTCCAAGGACTTTTTGAGCAACACTTTCAACTCCGAATTATCCACTACAAACTACAAAAAGATACTCTTTCACTAAGGTTGAGAGTATTACAAATTGATATGTATACTCATGAATATTTGGTTTGCCAACATAACACACATGAACATGAAAACATCAATAGGTTCTGATCTAGGGCCTGTATTACCACACTGTCGTTTTTGGCCATGTTTACAGTATCAGAAAAGAATTTCCTTCTATGGAGCTTGTGTCAAACATATCAAAAGACAGTATCATATGCCCATTAGCATTTGTACCAGTATTGCATCATTACACACATCTTGACTAGTAGGTTAGTATTGTTGATGAATGGTCCAGGAGTAAGACCACTGACACCTTTTGTCTGCCAGTAGCCTTTCAGGACCTTTCAGTACTACAATAGCTAGCCAGCAGAGGAAGTTCCCTGGTAAGTTCAAGACTCTTCTTTCTCTATCATGCAACCAAGAGTTTAGTGTCTTCAGCAACACCATGTACTTATAATGGCCAAGCAAGAGCACTGTTAATGACTTGTTTTGTTTGGAATTCCTTTGAGGCCTTACCTGCCCAGTAATCATTTAGCAGATAACCAATCCATTTAATGGTCCCAGTATCTGGGAGCAGCCTTATTGATCCCTGTGGAATACCTCTGTTCAAGGTTTTTTGAAACTATATTTCATCTTAACTTGTAAGATATGGGATTTCATAAGGCTTCTTCATATATCCTTTTGGATGACCTTCCTACTCTTCCTCCTTTTTTTCTTGCCCCATCCTCAGTTAAATATTTAATACATTCTCTAATATATTTTGCTCAAGTTTCAGATTGATAGGCTCCCATGTAGCTTCTTCATGGTCATCTCATTTGGTTGACCGTTGAGAAGCCCCCTCTCTTCACCACTCCACTACATAGTTGAGCCATTCTGCCCCCCCCCACCCCAGGATTGCCTCTCTCTAAGTCTGATCACCTATATTTTACTAGCCACCCTCTCCTTTTATCTCAACTGCTGGCCCACCTCTAGCTTCTTGGCTTTTACCTATAGTCTAACGAGAATGCCCAAAACAAAAAGTTCAAAGCTGGGAAACAAATTGTTTACTCATATGTCAGCTGATGAACATCTAGGGTGATTTTTGTTTCCAAGTACTGGTCAATAAAGCAGCAATGAACATGATGGGCAAGTGCTCATTAGTAAGATGGCAAGTTCTAGGAGTTTATGCCCAGGAGTGGTTACTGTGTATCAGCTTCCTCTGAAGTAATGGAGCAAGATGCTCTAAATGAGTGGCTCTCGACCTTCCTGATGCTGAAACCCTTTAATACACTTCATCATGTTGTGGAGAACCCAATCAAAAATTGTTTTGTTTCTTTATATCTGTAATTTTGCTGCTTTAATGTATCTGATATATAGGGTATCTGATATATAAGGTATCTGATATATAGGGTAGCTGATATATAGGGTATCTGATATATAGGGTATCTGATATATAGGGTATCTGATATATAGGGTATCTGATATGCAATCCCGAAGGATCATGACACTAGTTTGAGTGCCAATATAAAATGAAGGTGAAATACTTCATTCTGCAGAAAATATCCCGAAACATAGAAATAGAAAACTTAATAGCTTCAGGAAGTCACAGAAACTGTGCCCTCCCCGCTCAAGCATATATAATCTCTAAGAACTGCTGACACTGACAGATAGCTGAACTGCACAGGTGTTCAGACCATCCAACAGGCAGACAATAGTCAAGTTGCCTGGACCAGACAAGACAAGCCACCTGGAGGATGTACTTCATGGTTTGAAAGACACTTCCAATCTCCCTTAAAATCCTGCCAGCTGTGCAGTGATCCCAAGGTTTCCAGCTTCATTAGCCATCACTCCCACAGTATGATGCACCTTTCATTGAGTAGTTTGAGCATCTATAAGTAACCCCCCACCTCACAATTGTAGGCCACCCCAAATAAGACTCACTGGTTCACTGGATTTAAGGTTGACTCAGTGGTTAAGACCACCGCCTGCTCTTTCAGAAGACTCAATTCGAATTCCCAGCACCCTCACACGGGCACTCAATATGTAACCTCAATTCCAAGGCATTCAGTGCCCACTTCTGTGTCTGCTAGCACTAGGAACACATATGGTGCACAGACAAAATATCCTATTAAAAAAAAACCAACATTTGTCATTAGTTCACTAAGTTAGACTTTGTTGCAGAGAAGCTTGGTAACAATGAAGACCGTAAGAGGAACATGGATAGCCCAGGGAAGCGGAATTAGATGAGATTTCCTGAGCAAACTGGGGATGGGGGGTCAGTACAGGGGAGGAGATGTGAGATGAGAACATGAAAGTACGGGATCGTCAAGTGGGGAGAGCAACCGAGTGGGAAAGCAATGAAAGAGAGATCTTGATAGAGCCACTATGAGATCATGATAGAAAAACTGATGCTAGGGAAATTCCCCAAAATCCCTAACAATGGCCCCAGCTAAGACTCCTAGCAATAGTGGAAAGGGAGCCCAAACTGGCCTTCCCCTGTATTCAGATTGGGGAATACCCCAACCATCATCATAGAGCGTTCATTCAGCAACTGATGGAACCACAAGCAGAGATCCATAACCAAGCACCAGGCCAAGCTCCAGGAATCCAGTCAAATAGAGGGACGAGGGAATATATGAGCAAGGGAGGTCAAGATCATGATGGAGAAATCTATGGAGACAGCTGAACCAAGCTTGTGGAAACTCAGGAACTCTAAACTGACAGCTGTGGTGCCTCCATGGGACTGAATTAGGCGCTCCATACGTGGGGGACAGTGGTGAAGCATAGGTTGTCTGTGAGGAACCTGGCAGACCAGAATCTATGCCTGGTGTATGAGCTGTCCTATTGTAGCCCATTCCCTATGATGGGGTGCCATGCTCAGTCTTGATGCGCTGGGTGGGTGGGAGGCTTGTCTTGGTCTTGCTTCAATTTGTGCCAGACTTTGTTGACTTCCCATGGGAGTCCTGACCCACTGGGAGGAATGGAAGGAGGTTGGGCTGCAGGGGAGGCGAGGGGAGTCATAGGAGGGGTGAGGAGAACTGTGAGTGAAATAAATTTTAGGGGCTGGAGAGATGGCTCAGAAGCTAAGAGCCCTGACTATTCTTCCAGAGGTCCTGAGTTCAATTCCCAGCAACCACATGGTGGCTCACAACCATCTGTAATGAGATCTGGTGCCCTCTTCTGGCACGGAGGTGTACAGGCAGGAGGAACACTGTATACATAATAAATAAATAAATCTTAAAGAAACTAAAGAAGTTGAATTTCATTAAAAAAAAAGAAATAAATTTTAAAAAGACAACCCTATGACAAGATTGACAGGATTCTATGAAAATTTCAAAGAACTAACAACAAAGCTACTTAAAATGCTTCTTGAAACAAAAAATTAAGATTTCCCAGTGCTTAGTATTCCCTGATGTTAAACCAGGTAATGATACAACCAAAAAGAAATTACAGACCGATATGGACATTTTAAAAAATTATCATTATGATGACAGAAGTCACAAAATAGTCCCACACTAGTTCAGACTTAGGTATAATAAGGGGTTATTTATTTAGGGGAGACTCACAGATCACTGTCCTAGATCACAGTCCTCTCCCCAAAAAGGCACCGGAACCAAATCTAGCGGCCGGAAGTGAGAACTGGAAGCAGCAAGAGAGCAAGCATGAGCTTTACAGTTGCATTTATAGTAAAAGAGGCCACGCCCAAGTTGGCTGGTATCTTAAAGGCTATTTGCCAAAGCAGTTCCCGCAGCATCATTCGCTATTTCATAAACACATATACAGTGTGTATCTCTGTGTCGTGTGTGCCAAAAAATACTCTCATTTCCTACTTCTCAATTACTCTGGTCCAAAATTCCACTAAATCTCCCTATGGTGTTCACGTTGACTCATTTTGCTTTGGGACCTGCTGAGATTGACCAGAGCCATCTGTTAAGACTGTGGGTTTGGAGCTATGTGCTGAGCTACTGGGCTCAGTAGAGAACTACAGCTCAAGGCAATGGTTATTTTCCTACCATCCATCCATATCTGACATTTGAGAGGTAAAGAGTGGGCCCTGTGAGCCTTTCCCTTTGCTAGACTGATGTGGTCTAGTGTGAGGTCAGTACAGGTAGTACAGTTGCTGTTGGTTACTGATTACAGCAGCTGTAGGGAGTCTAGAGAATGGCATGTCTTAGCCCTTCCTCCTCTTTTCCTTCTTATCCCTTTTCCGGGCATCTTCCACTCCCAGAGCCATGAATGGTGTAACTAAAGTTTTTAAAACTGGGACCACATACCTTATTTATTTCTTGCATCTAGGACAGCCAAGAATCTAGGCATTCACCACTGCATTTAAAGAAAAATATATGTTTTATCCAAAAAGACCTTAAGCATGAGTCACAGAAACGAAAGGACCACCATCTAGTTCCGAAAACAGTTCAGAACTCATCCCTGGCCTGTTAGCAGTGGACTAGCCAAACTTCTTTAAAATCCACGTTCCTGAATTGTCTTCCCCCAAAGCACGATTGTAGTATTTGTATTTTACTTGTCATGTCTGTTTGGTTGGGACTCTGGCTTCTGAATTTTTCCAGTTATCATTTGGTCTAAGTATATAGCCAAGGAGGCTGGTAGTCAGGTAGAGGTCAGGCTGCCTGTCTTTTAACTAAAGTGCTCAGACTCACTGTGGGGTCAGTACGGGACGGGTGCAACGTCCTCCTAGATCCAGATCTGCTCTAGGCTGGCAGCGAGCATGTGGGGAGGCTGTGCAGGGCGGGTCCAGGGCAGCCTGACAGCTGGAGCTGTGTGGATGGAAGCCTGAGACAGAGAGGGAGGGCGGTTCGTTGGGGCGGAGATACTAACCCGGAAACAGAGCTTGGAACGATGTGGCACATTGGCTGGACGTAAGGGAAGGGCGGAGAAGGGGGCGGGGTTATAGTGGTGACGTAAGCGGAAGCTGGGAAACCCTGTTGGTGCGGTGTTTGAAATCGACTTAGGAGCCAAAGCCACAAGCGCCAAATGCCGTTTTTTTCTCTCGTTGCTCCCGGACCGAATGGTATAGAACCGCGTGGTGTAGACCTAGGTGTCGCGGGGACGCGAAAACTCCCCGGAGCCGCAGTCGCCGCGGGGCGGCCTGGGAAAGTCAGCAGCGCAGTGGCGGGAACCGCAGCCCGGCGGCCCTGGAACCTCCCAGGTCAGAGGAGCTGCGGGGCTGGGACCCAGCAGGGAAGGGACCAGAGGTGCGAGCAGTTTCTCTGCTGTTCATAAGGAAGCTGGTTCTGAAATTCTGCTTTGAATACCTTTGCCTTCGTATATTTTAGATCATATGAAATAAGCCTGTTTTTTTTCTATTGATCTTTTTATTTCCAAAATATTCTTATAAAAATAATATAGTAGAATATTTGAATTTATCTGTCGATATTTGCAAACACGGTTCTCGTTGCTATGATGGAAAGGAAAAGCTCTTCAAATTTACACTCATCCAGGTTAACTTTCGTATTATATCTGGGGAGTTGGGGATTTATTATTTTTTATCCCAGGGCAGAATTTAAATATTAGTCATGAAGATGGCTGCAGATTTAATCGAATAAAAATATATTTTTTGCGTTTTTTTGTTTTTGTTTTTTTTGACACAGGGTTTCTTTGTAGCTTTGGAGACTGTCCTGGAACTTGCTCTGTAGACCATGCTGGCCTCGAACTCACAGAGATCCTCTTGAGTGCTGGGATTAAAGGTGTGCTGCACCAACCACTGCCTGACTTACTTACTTACTTATTTATTTATTTATTGGTGTATGGGTGTAGACATTAACATTTAAACGTAAAAGTTTCACACTTTATTATTTTTCCATCTGAGACATATGCTCTCTGTGGTGTAAATATACCACTCTGAGAAGAGTCTTCACCATATCTTGTGGCACAGGCCTTGAATTCCAGTGCTCCAGTGGCAGAGGCAGGTGAATCTCCTTATGTTGGAGACCAGCATAGTGATTTTCAGGACACCCACAACTACATGGTGAGGGACTGTGTCTCATAAAAGAAAAAAAACAAACAAACAAACAACAGGAAAAGAGGAGGAGGAAAAAGAAAAAGAAGGAAAGGATGGAAGAGAAAGGAAACGTGTCCTCTTGTGCTCATTTATTAATGTTGCACCTTGGAGTCTAGAAAGTACAGTATGTTGTTTGAGATGTCTGTGAAAAGGCATTATGATCTAGGTGGTGTTGGCACGTGCCTTTAATTTCAGCACACGGAGGCAGAGACAGATGAGTCTCTGAGTTTGAAGCCAGCTTGATCTACAGAATGACTTTCAGGACATCTAGGGTTAATGATTGACCAGCCTGACTCCATCTTAAGGATAGAAGTCATTTGTTATAAGGTCAAAACAAGTTCATTTCAGTTTGTTTTCTTTTGTTTTTTTGAGTCAGGATTTCTCAGTAAAGCGGTGGCTGTCCTGGAAATTGCTCCGTGGACCAGACTAACCTCAAAGTCGGAGATCCACCTACTTCTGCCTCCTGAGTGCTGGGGTTAAAGGCTTTGTAGTTTGTTTCTGTTTGCTGCCAAATTCAAGTTGACCATACTTTAAGCTGTTTCTGGAATTTGGCATGCTCTCCACCCTATGGAGTTTGACTTACGGCATCAATGTACCCTGATAACATGTTCTGTCAAATAATTGCAAAATGTTTAGCCAAGTTCCTACTTAGCAAAAGTTCCTCTGGAAATCCTCCAACCTTTGGAAACCCTCTCATCCTCCAGTTCTGGGTAATGTATAAGCCCCACTTTATCCTGAGTTCAAAAGAAGAAAAGACATTTTAATATAGAATGAGATTGGAAGCCATATGTTAATAATGATGATAACTCATTTACATCTGAAAAATGTCTACAATAGTCTTGACTCCTTGGTCCAAAAAAAGTACTCTGACCATGGACTCTTGACAGAACTATTAACTTTTGGTTCTTATGTTTGCTTTGTTGAGACCCTTTGTTTGTGCTGCTTGGCCCTGTAGACCAAGATGGATTGGAAAACACAGGGTTCCACCCACCTGTTTCTCCCAAATTCTAGGACTAAAAGTATGCACCAACAGGAAGATTCAAACTGTTTTTATTTATTTATTTATTTATTTATTTATTTATTTTTTACTTTGTGCTCTATTGACAGCCAGTGGTGTGACTGTGGACTTCTCCCAGGAGGAGGGACAATGCCTGGACCCTGCCCTGACTTTGTACAGAGACTGGATATTGCAGAATTACAGCAGTCTGGTTTCTGTGGGTGAGAATAGTTTGCGTGCAATCTCCTTTCCTCCTTAGAGTTCCTAGCAAAACTAATCTGCATGTGTGTGTGTGACTTGTGTGATTATAGAATCTCACACTTCACAGAATAAAGTAAAATCCTCAGAGGAACAAATAAAAATTTTCACAAAATGTTCTCCTTTTGAGTCTTTTTTTTTGGAGGTATAAGGCTGCCAGCATTTTTGGTCCATGATAACAGAACGTCCCTTGGGTATGATTCTCATCCCAATCATTCACTTACATTTTCGCCTCTGATATTTGACTGAGCTGTGATTGAAAGTGGGATTCAAGTAACAATAACTAACAATGTTTTATAATATTTTCAGTATTCTGACACTGCACAACAATTGGAAAATCGTTCTATAATCCTCTATTTTGTTTTCTCTTCATGTACTGAGCACAGTACTATGTTAGAAATCCAGCTGCTTTCTGAAGAATCTCTTTCTCATGTGCAGCTCTCACTGAGCACCAGGACCTGTTCACCTGTGAAACAGAACAAAGAGGCCAGGAAGATGGAGAGGGAGGAGTCAGTGGCTAAGGATGCAGGTATTTGGAGGAATTGGGGAAGGAGTAGAAAAGGATCAAGTGAATGTTAAAGTGGGACAGGAAATCAGTTTTGCCATGAGTGTTTTGCTACATGTATGACAGTATATCATGTGCATTCTAGAATTGTGTGTGTGGACTGATGGGAGCCACCCTCTGGGGCCTGAGCATGGAACCTGCGTCTCTAAAGCAGTCACAGACGTTCATACCCATTGAGCCATCTATCTAGTCCTATTATGTTTTACTTATGTGAGTATCAATAATAGAAAATGGTATAAGGCTCTTATAGACATTTTTATGTAGATTATCTAAAATCTTGACTTTACATAAGCATTTATTATTTCTTAGTAATTTTTTCTTTCATTGTTTTTAAAATACAGCCTACTCAGTCTGTATGTTTTCAGGGATGAACATTTGGTATTGGATAACCATATGGTGTACTCTTCTCTATTTCTCCAGTTCTCAGAATTGCTTAGTGTTTGACTAGAGTTTAGGCCTCCCTTCCATGTTAGCATGTCTCTTGGTGTTGGCCTTGTTCTGCTCATGTTTAGGCAGCCCTGTTTGTAAGATTTTATGCATGTAGCTTCTCTGACATTTCTAGGAGTCACAATCTCACAGCAAATATCTTGTTCCTCTGGCTCTTAAAATGTTCCCTCTCCTCTTTCTCGGTGACCCCTGAGCCTGAGGTAAAGGAATGGTGTTGCGTATGTGTCAGTGGGAACTGAGCATCACAAGTCTGCATTTTGACTGGTTGCGGTTTTTTGTAATAATCTCCATGTGTTCCAAAAGAACTTTCCATGGTTAGGGCGAGGACAACATTTATCTATGTAAGTAAGTAAAATTTTTAGAATTCAGTTAGTGATTATGCTGATTTAATGAAATTGTTCTCCTCCACAATCCCTGACTTCACTATCCCTGAGGAAACTGGCCAGGTTTTCAGGACCAGGCATGATTTCCCTCCTGTTGAGAGGGTCTTCAGTCCAATTAGAAGCTGTGGTCACCACCAAGGTACGTGTGCCACTCTTGGACCCTTCCGTCTATCATGCAGTGCAGATCATTGTTGTGGTTCATTGGAGTCATTGCTGGATAGGACTGTTGGCCAGGTCCCTCTCTGGAAGTTTGAATGTTGCCGTCTGGTACCATGAAAGCTGATCCACATGGAGTAGGCTTTAAAGTCATAACTTTCTCAGATCCTCTGGGATCTGTGTGCAAAGTGCATGGCTTCTTCAACAATAGGGACTCACCTTCTATGTCTAGGAGGAAAGCATGGACAACAGCAGTAGCTGGTTAGGTAATCTCATGGATAGCTGTGACCAACAACTTTAAAGCAGGTTTTTTTCACTTGGAGTTGATGGTTTTGTTAGAAAATTTGTATTTCTCTTGCATTATCAGCACAGATGGGAACTTTTCATTTATACTCTAACTATAACTGGATATACAGACTTATATGTTATAGGCATTTTTGGTAGATGGTAATAGTAAGATTCCTTATGACGTTTTCAGACATACTTACTCTTATTTTACCCCCCTTTTGTGTTTATTTCTGTTCTTTCTCCATAATTAAATCCCTTCTCATTTTTCCATTTCCCCCTCCAGACCACTTGCTTTCAGTTATTCCCCTCTCATACTCCCCCACACCCCACAGTGGTCTATTTTGCTCTTCTGGTTACTGCAGTCACTCCAGTTTGTGGATTCACATCTGAAGATTTGTAGCTAGGAACTTTCTCTGAGAGAGAACAACCATTGTCTCTTTCTGTGTCGGGGTTACCAAACTCAGTATGATCTTTTCTAGGTCTATCCATTTACCTGCAAAGTTAATGAGTTAAATTTTCTTTACAGCTGATATTTTATGGTGTATATGTTCTATATTTTCACCATTCATTCATTAGTTCAAGGACATTTAGCTTGCATGCCTTCTGTAGCTATTGTGACTAGAACATCAATTACCATGGGTGAGCAATGAGTAGGATGTCAGGTCCTTTGAGCATGTGCCAAGGAGTGGTACAGCTGACCCATGTGCTAGATTGATTTAAATTGAGGTTTTATATATTTAACTTTAAATTCTTTGTATTGACTTTCAGAGTGGCTGGAATTTTTGTTCATAGGTTTTTATCTTCTTTGGTTTTGATTTTGATCTTGTTGCTTGTAAGCAGAAGTTTCCCTGTTTCTCACACTGTCAAATAATTATTCAGAGGCTTATATTAATTGTAAATGCTCAGCCAGTAGCTCAGGCTTACTACTAACCAACTCTTACACTTTAACTCATTTCTAGGAAATCCATATACTTCCCTGAGGCTCATGGCCTTTACCTATATCCCATTTTGTGTATCTGACATTTTCTCCATCTGGCTGGCAACTCTCCTAATTTTGTCCTTTTTTTTTCTCAGCATCCCCTGATTTTTCCACCTCGCCTTATCTTATCTAGCTATTAGCCAATCAGCTTCTTTTTTTAAAAAAAAAAATTTATTTATTATGTGTACAATATTCTGTCTGTGTGTATGTCTGCAGGCCAGAAGAGGGCACCAGACTTTATTACAGATGGTTGTGAGCCACCATGTGGTTGCCGGGAACTGAACTCAGGACCTTTGGAAGAGCAGGCAATACTCTTAACCACTGAGCCATCTCTCCAGCCCCCAATCAGCTTCTTTATTTAAAAAAATTATAGCAACAAATCTTCACAGTGTACAAAAGGATTTTCCACAGCAATTGCTAGTTAAGTTATTAGGAGCATTGTTTCTCTACTATAAGAATTTGTGGTTTGCTATCTTGCACATTTCTCGTCTACTTATCAGGTCTTCCCGTGAAATGTATTACTTCCCATGTTCTCATGGATAATTCCTCTGATTCTCTTCTGTATATTTTCTTCTAATTTATTATTGGAGATTATTTTTCTGATTGCAACAATATGGTTGATATGATTTTTCTCTCCAGGCTTTAACTATATTTCCATGCTCTTTCTTTGGAATCATTTACTGGACACCTGGTAGTGTTCTGTTTATTAGCTCTTTTCATGTGTTTTGACATTTTTCTTTTACCAGCTTTCAGTATTAACTTTTGCATTTTCTTATATGAAAGGGCAACAAGCCATCTATTCTTTGTTCCTGAAAGAAAAACTCAAAGACGAGAAACAGAAAGAAATGGCTGATTCTCCAGTTAATCTGTCCCAGGTCAGTTATCATGTCCACTATTTTTTCTGGAAATTTTATATTTTGAGACATTGAAAGCCTTTAATTTTCTGCTTCTGATTTTTTTAACTTTTTTATAAAAATTGTTCCAAACAAACACACAACAACAACAACAACAAAAAAAAAAAAACCCACACACTGAACTTAACCAGACCCAAAGGCTGTACAACTTAAGGTATTTATACAGTTAGAGTTGTCATCTTTGGGATCAGAAGCTCTAGAGCCTCACATGAGATTTTATATTTTCACAAAATTTAAATTTTCACAAAATTGAATATATTTTAATTATACAGTACCAAAAACCAAAGACATATGACAAAATTAGACCCAGAAAAGCACTTAGCTTTATATCATTTTTCATAACTGGTGTTCATTACCTCAACTCCTGATAGTTAGCCTTTCTTGTTATCTTTTCTCCATGCTCTGCTGTACCCACATGTATGTTGTTTCCCAAATACATGTATTATTGGCTTGATTTTTCTTATGAGGCAAAATATGGTTTCTTTTTTCTGACTTCTATGACCTTACTTACTATTATACATTCTAAATCCAAACATTATCCTGTAAATTTTTATTATGTTTTTCTCTTCAGCTGTATAGTATATTTTATATATATGTATATACAGTTTGCATTATATAGTGATCTGTCGGAAAGCAATTAGATTGATTCCAATTCTTTGTTTTCATGAATAAGCAGCAATAAATGTGGGGTATAAATATCTCAGTAATGGGATGTGGAATTCCCTGGATATATGCCCAGTAATGAAAGAGCTGTTGAAACATTAGATCTATCTTTAATTTTTGTCACTAATCTCTAAATTGTTATCCACAATGTCTGTATTAACTTGCACCACACATACACATACACACACACACACACACACACATACACACACACACACACACACACAGAGAGAGAGAGAGAGAGACAGCACAATGACAGTCTATTAGGATTCCTTTCTCTCCTCATTTTCTCTAACATTTATTGTCAGATTGGTTGATGACAGCCATTCTGGACAGAGTGAGGCAGTATTCCAAAGTAGTTTTAGTTTGCATTTCCATGATGACATCTTAAGGATCCTGAACACTTGGCAAATTTATTGGCCATTTGTGTTTCTTTTTTCACAAAATGTTTTTTTCAGCTCTTTTGGCCATATATTGATTGGCAGTTTTATATCCTTGGAATTTAATTTCTGTAATTCTTGGTAAATTCTAGCAATGAACTTATATCCAAAGTGTCACTGGTACAGATTTTCTCCCATTCTTTGGGTGTCTGTGTGCTCTACTGAGTGTTTCCTTTGATTAACAGAATGATTTTATTTTTATGTAGTCTCATCTGTTGATACTTGGTTAGTTCCGGTTCTGTTTGTGTTTTTTACTATTCAGAAAGTTCTTGCCCATCCCATATCCTGAGGGTGTTTCCTGTGTTCTTTAGGTTTCTGTGCTTCTCATATTAAATATAAGTTTTGAATCACTGTAGCATGATCAACATGTAAAGCATTTAAAATCGCATTTCCTCATCACAGATTTTCCTTCTGAGACATGTACACTGTGATCTGTGGGATATAAACATTGCATCCTTAACAAATAGTTAACCTTGTCCACACCTGAAGTGTGTGCCTTCTTTCATGTGTATTGCGTGGTAAGACTACTGTGCTATCCTATTGTCCGAGAGTTGGAACATTCCTTGTAGAATGTGATTATTTAGAAGTCATCTTTTTGAGTAATTGTCTTCACTCATTTATATTTCTTCACGTCTCCTTATATCAAGGAAATACTCTGTCCAGTATCACATGATCAAACTGTGCTTTTTTTCTTTCAGGGTCTGTTTACATTCTGGGATGTAGCTGTGGACTTCACCCAAGAAGAGTGGGAATGTCTGAACTCTGCTCAGAGGACTTTGTACATTGATGTGATGTTGGAGAATTACAGCAACCTGGTCTCTCTGGGTGAGAAATTTGACTTGTAGATTTCCTAATTTATCCTTTGTATGTGACAACTTTATAGGTTATGGACTCGCTGTTAAAGCTGTCATGGAAATGATAGGGGACTATGGAAACTTTGGTAGTAGACGAAAACTTTTTCATGATACTTCCTTTTTTTTCCCTTCCATTTTTCATTAGAGGTTTCTGTTTTCCACTTAGAGGTATCATACACCCCACATTTTTTTTTCCACGATACATTCAGAAACTTAGTAGAATATAATATTTGTACCCATATCTTCTTTTTCATTTATTTCCTTTGATTGAAATAGATTTTCTCATCCAGTATATCCAGATTATATATTTTCCCTTCCCTCTAAGTCTCCCAGTTCCTCCCTCTATCCCTTCCTCTCAATATCCACTCCATTTCTTTCTCTCTTTAGAAAAGAGCAGTTTTTAAAGAGATAACAACCAAGCATGGCAAAATAAAATATAAGATGAAGCAAAGCCATCATTTGAAGTTCGACAACGTAGCCCAGCAGAAGGAAGAGAGTCCTTAGAACAGGCAGAAACCTCAGAGACCCATTCTTTCTCACACTCCGGAGTCCCATGATAACACTACGCTTAAGCTATAATACATATACAGAGGGCCCGGTGCAGATTCATTTAGGCCTTGTGCCTGCTGCTACTGTCTCTGTGTCACTTAGCTAGTTAGTTCAGAGGGCCTTGTTCTTCTGTTGTCCTTTATCCCTTTGTGCTCTTAGATTCCTTTAACCTCCTCTTGTGCCTGGTTCTCTGAGCTCTGAGGAGAAGGGATTTGACATCCCATGTCGACTCTCTGTATCTCTGCTATTTTTGATAACTTTTTTTTTCTTTTCTTTTCATTCTTTTTTGTTGTTGTTGTTGTTTGTTTTGTTTTTGTTTTTCTGAGACAGGGACTTTTTCTTTTTACAGCAGTAGTTTTTGGTTTTACCCTTATTCTTTGGTCTGTCTAGTCTTTGGTCCTTGGTTACCCAAGCAATGTTGTCTATGGGTTCCATCAGATTGGGCCATAAATAAGATCAGACGTTAGTTAGATACTCCCTCAATTTCTGTTCCACCACTGCCCTAGCATATTTTCTAGGTGGGACAGATTGTAGATCACAGGATTTTGGACTATTTCCATCCATAACATAAGCTTGATGTCCATCATTGCATTTGACATCATTTTAATTTTGAAAAAAACTCAAAATATGCAAACTGAAAAGTCTCCCTTAATATATTTACAATATGTACAGGAAATAGCACTTGAAAATTCATTCCTATATTCCTCTACTTTGTGCTCTCTTCATGTACTGAACCCAGTACTTGGTTACATGTCTTTATTCTTTCTAAAAACTCTGCCTTGAGTCATGAGCTACCTCACAGAACATGTGGACTATATGCAAGATAGGCCTGGTCACCTACTCAGAGCAAATGAGATAGCCCTGGAATGTGGGGAGGAGAGAGTAGCCACAACCAGGGTGGGCTAGTGAATGAGTGGAACAACAGTGATGGCTTCCAGTGAAAGAGAAATCAAGAGCTGAAAACAGTTTTGCTACACTTAATTCCACTTAAAAGGATTCCTGATCATTTGACTTAGTGTAGTGTCCTGGTTCCAGGATGCATGCTGCCTGTTGTTAGAAGATGTTGTGTTTTATTGCACCTGAATTTTGCTGACTTAATACTAGCACAAAATGCAATTTTATTTCATTATGCTGACATTGGATTAAAATAATTTTCCTAACTTTATGTCTGAAATGAATCCATGGAGCAGGATTATTCTGTAATTCCCTTCCTTGCTGTCTTTATATTGCATCCTTTATTTTCTTTCCACTGAAGAATACACAAACACTCTTCTGGGAAATAATCTCAAGAGTTGGTGTTCAGAGAGACTTGAGAATAACCTTAACAGTAGCCTGAGAGGCCAGCTCCCAAGGCTCCCTCCAGGGTTTGAGTCAGAAGGCCACAGTGGGGTGGAAGGGACTGAGGATATTTGTAATCAGAGGGGTAACAGAAACCCACACAGATGATGTTTGAGTCATATTCTTTACTCTTCTGTCCCCAGTTCGAAATCTCTGCAGTTTTTATACATATACAATGGTGTTCTTTTCCAAGGCTGTTTTCTTAGGGTCACAAAGCATTCTTTGCAGACAGATATGTTATACAAAGCAATAACTTGTCACTGATTTTAATGATTGGCTGTGGCCCTAGCTGTAAAAAATTCCATCTGTCTCTTAAAGGGCAGAAAACTAAACCAAATAGAAATTTTAAGAGGAAATAAGGAATTCATGCACTCAAAGTGTGACTAAATTTGTAAGCTAAAAGTTTGTGATCAGTAAAACATGCAAAAGTAAAATGCTGTTATCTCCTGGCACAGAGAATGCAGCTGTGCTTCAGAAACTGTCAGTGAGTAACCATGGCAACTTGCATAAGGCAAGGGGGAAATGTACAGTGATGATTCATATCAGCATATCCACCAAATGTTAACTGGCAATAAAAATCCTTTCAATTCTAAAACATACTTCTACTCTGTGTGCTTAGAGCAAAGAAGGGACCTATTACTATTTCATACAAAATCTGGGACTTGACACCTCCCAGCCGCTCCAGCCACCTGCATGTATTTCACACACTAATCAGTAACCATGCTAGAAGGCTATCTGTCTCTGAAGATGGTTAATCAATTTACAACATCTTCTTGTAAATCATCCAGATCTCAGAACTAAAACATAATCAGTTAGTCTTCTAAGTTAAAATCTTGTATCGATAAACTGAGGTGAAAGTGTATTCAAGGTGTTAATAGCCTTTAGGGTCAAAGCAGTGGAGTGCTACATTTTCTGTCACAGGAGGCAGAATGAGCTCACTACACTTCTTGTTCTTTTTAATATACGAAAGGCTTTGAGTTAACAAATCCGGGCATACGACAGTTCTGTCCTTGAGTTTTATCTGTGAAAGTACCATTTGTCATCTTTCTTACAGGACACCTTGTCTGGCCAAATTGTTCTGTCATTAAGATAATTATAAAGAACAGGCTTTTCAGTTTTTTCTCACAATGTAGAACAAAAACTTGGCTATGGCTTACTTATTTTATCCACCAGAGATACATGATATGAGGAGAAATCATCCTTCTATCAGTACATAGAAATATTGGGCCCAACATATGAGGAATACACTACTAAGCTTGTAGGACAAGTCCCCAAGCTGGAATTAGAGGGGGACCATGTTGTCACACAGAGAATTGCAGGTAGAGGCAAACAGCTATTCAAAAGGCAGTCAGTATTCCTCACAGGCCCTACCTTGTGAGTTTTATCCTCCAGCAAGTGTGTGTGTGTGTGTGTGTGTGTGTGTATGGTAGGTTGGCCTCCTAAATATCAGTTATGATATACTGTGTATTCTTGTGGACTCCATCCTAACCCTTTGAGGGAATTTAAGAAACACAGCAGTGTGTGGAGTTCAGACAGTGGAAGACAGAAATTAGCAATAGCTGCCCATGACAGCCCTGCCTTAAACAATCTAGTTCCTATCGTGTCTGGCAGAATAATTGCTTTGCATCTATAAATTTGGAGAATGTATTGCTTTTTTTTTTTTAAGAAAAAAGAAAATCTTTGATGCTTTTGAGTAAGCCTTTAATCTTAAAATGAATTCTCACAGTACTCGTCATTGCTGTTCACTAGGAAGTATAAATACTGTGAATCTGGGATTAGATTAAGTTCTTTTTCATCAGTCTCTGAGTAAATAAATATTTAAAAAGAGACATGTATTTTAATTAGAATCAGTCACTGAGCTCCATTCCAGTGATGTTTCATCTTCTATGAAGGTCACCCTGTGAGAATCCATAGAGTTATAGTGGAAGAATAAAGTTGACTAGTGGGAGCTCTATTCTAAATAGTTGCTGGTTGACTTATGAGAGAACTTAGAGAATCTGTCATTTATCACATATTTATTATTGGAACAAGCCAATTAACCTGAGTTTTACTCATTTTCAGAGAACTATTGCAAATGTGATCCTGTCCATCAGCATGTGAATAATGAAAAGGAGTCTCGTCAGTCTAATGATCTTGGCAACATGCTTCATGACCCCTCCACATGTGCACTTTATAAAACACATGGAACTAGAGAAAACTCGAATAGCTACAGATGCAGTGATCACAGGGATGACTCTGTTGACTCATCAAACCCTGATAGACATGAAAGCTTGCACACTGGAAAAGAACCTTTTAAATCTAAAGACTGCAAGAAATCTTTAAATTTGGGTTCTATCATTACTCAAGATCACATACTCTACACTGCAAAGAAAGAACACAGACAGGGAGAATATGATGACTCTTTCTCTTCTGCATACAGTGTTTTGCAACAAACAATCTACATTGGAGGGACACCACACCAATGTTTGAAACGCGGGAAATGTGTCAGTACCACCTCAAGCCTCATCATACATCCGAGAATTCATACTGGAAAGAAACCCTACAAGTGCGACATTTGTGACAAATCCTATAAGCAGAGTGCAAGTCTTAAAACACATCAAAGACTTCATACTGGGGAGAAACCTTACAGATGCAAAGATTGTGGAAAGTCATTTCGCCTGTTGGTAGTACTTAAAAACCATCAGAATATGCATACTGGAGAGAAGCCTTACACATGTAAGGAATGTGACAAATCCTTTCCTGTGAAGTCAACTCTTACAAAGCATCAGAGAATTCATACTGGAAAGAAACCCTACAAGTGCAATGTTTGTGACAAATCCTTTAGTCAATGTTCACATCTTAAAATACATCAAAGACTCCATACTGGGGAAAAACCTTACAAATGCAAAAATTGTGAAAAGGAATTTCATGACTTATCAGCACTTAAAAGCCATCAGAAAATGTATACTGGAGAAAAGCCTCACAAATGTAAGGAATGTGACAAATCCTTTGCTCTAAAGTCAACTCTTACAAAGCATCAGAGAATTCATACTGGAGAGAAACCCTACAAATGCAACGTTTGTGACAAATCCTTTACCCAGTGCTCAAGTCTGAAAACTCATCAAAGACTCCATACTGGAGAGAAACCTTACAAATGCAGAGAATGTGGAAAGTCATTTCCTCAGTCCTCAGCACTTAAAAGCCATCAAAAAATGCATTCAAACAAAAGGCATGCTGGAGAGTAGCTTTACCAATGCAATGAGTGTAACAGGTCCTGTAACCACTATTCATTATTAGGAAGGCAGTAGAAAATTCATTTTCTAGAGAAATTATACAAAGGCAAAGAATGTTGTAAGTCCTTTTTCAGCTATCAAATCTTAAAATGCATTACAGAATGCACATAGGTGAGAAACCGTAGAACGGTGAAATATGTGACAAATGCTTTACTATGACAGCTACTCTAGAACACATCAGAAAATTCATACTGGAGAGAAATCTTACTGATGTAAAGAATGTGACAAATCTTTTTCTACGTGTTCAAATCTTCAAACACATTAGAAAATTCATACTGGAGAGAAACTTTACAAATGGCAGAGACTGACAAATCCTTCATCCAGCATTCAAATCTTACAATATATTATAGAGTTCATAATGGAGATAGACTTGCATATGTAGAGAATGTGAATTTTTTACTAAATGCTCAACTCTTCAAGCACATCAGAAAAATACTGGAGAGAAAAATGCCATTGTGAATATTGTGATGTAGCATTTACCTGGTACTCTCTGCTTATAAGTCACAACAGTATACACAATAGAAACATAAAAATATGAAATTTTTGAAAACTTTGAATGAGGTTTATATATTAGAAAAATATCAAAGAATTTATATTATAATAAAATTCTGCAAATCAAACTGAAAAGCTTTTTTTAAAAAAAATGCAGGAATTTTGATTGCATGCATGTATGCATTCTGCCTGTAGAGGCCAATGGTATCAGACCCCCAAATCTGGAGCTATAGGCAGTTGTAAGCTGCTACCTGCATGTGTGCAGGAAATAGAACCCTGATTCTCTGAAAGAGGAGCCAGAGCTCTCAGCCACTAAGCCATTTCTCAAGCCCCTGAGAAAAGCTATAATAAAACATCTTGTTCAGCCTCTACAAATTCAAAATGATTCCTGTCATGTGCTCACCTTTAATCCCAATACTTCAGACACAGAGGCAGGGTATTTGTGTGAGTTCAAGGCTAGCCTGGTCTTCATAATAGATCAGAACAGGCAGAACTGTATAAACTCTGTATCCGAAAACAATAATGACAAAAATGCATCAAAAAATTGTGAAAAAACCTTTTTTCCTCTAATTTTGCTGTATATTACTAAATTTATACTTCTGACAAACCTTATAAAGGTACACCATATATAACCCCCATATCTTGCTGTTCATTGGAAATTTCACCCCCAAATACATTCAGTTTGACAAATTTTTTGCCTAGTGCTGGAATAGTAAACATGAAATTCATAATGAAACAAAAAATGCTCCAATAAATTCTCATCGTTTATCTATCCTCAAACATCTTCATCTTAGGTTTATACTCATGCAAATAGGGAGAGGTTGAGAATCTGTAAAGAATTGGACTGTGAATGTGACAACACCTACAGTTTATAAATCTCCAGGTCAGGGCTGGAGAGATGGTCTGTAGGTCCCTGATTTGATTCACAGCACCTAACAGGTAGCTCACAACTGTATGTACCTCTAGGATGAGGGTATCTGATGCCTACTGGATTCTGTAGGCACCATTTTCACATATTGCACAGATATACATGCAGGCAAAACATTTATACATAAAAAGAAATCCCCAAGGTTGCAAGGCTTAGTAGACTATGGCTTTAATCTCTGGATGTTGGAAGTAGAGACAGGTTGATCTCTGGGAAATTAAGGCCATCTTAGTCTACAAGCAAATACCAAGACACCCTGTTTCAAAAAAAGAAAGCTCTGAAGGCATTCAGAAATTACTTTTGAAGTGCTGAAGGAAAATGGGGAAGTATTTATTCTGTCTTAGAGTTTTTATTGCGCTAAGAGACACCATGACCACCACAACTCTAACAAAGGAAAACATTTAATTGGAACTGGCATACAATTTCAGAGATTTAGTCCATTATCATCATAATGGGACATGGCAGCATGCAGGAAGATGTGCTGGAGGATGAGCTGAGAGTGGAGAAATTACACCTAGACTTGTAAGCAATAGGAAGGAGTCTAAGTCTCATGCTGAGCTAAGCTTGAGCAAAGCCTGCCCCCACAATGGCACACTCCTTCCAGCAAGGCCACACCTACTTTAACAAGACCAAACCTAATATTGCCACTCCATTTGGGGGCCATTTTTTTTCAAACCACCACATATTCTAAACTCTTAAAATAATATACCTGCCCTTAACCTTAGTAGACCTTCACTGAGGAAAAGGAGACTCCTGTGACCCTCCTTCAACATAATGAAATGGTAATTGTCCCAAACTTGCATAATTGCTGTAGTGAGGAGGCGAGCAGGCATGCTCTTCATCCCCCCCAAGCTCCCTCACGGCTAGCTTTACACCCGAAATAACAACACACAAACTGTATTCATTTAAATACTGCCTGGCCCATTATATCTAGCCTCTTCTTGGCTAACTCTCATATCTTGCTTAACCCATTTCTATTAATCTGTCTAGCACCATGAGGTGGTGTCTTACCAGGAAAGATTCAGCATGTCTGGCCTGGCGGCTGGCTCCATTACATCTGCTTGACTCAGTTTTCTTTCTCCCAGAATTCTGTTCTGTCTACTCCACCCACCTATGTTCTGACCTATCAGGACAAGCAGTTTCTTTATTAACCAATGAAAGTATGACCCTCCTCCATCAATTGCTTGTTCTCAGTACTTTTTGAACAGCTATTTCAACTGTGCATTACCTACTACTATTGGTGAATGAATTCATCAATGTTGAGAGTAGTACAAACTGATAGTTGTAATCATATATATTTTTGATGGCAGATTAATGACATGATCATTAACAAAACATCAATAGACTCTGCCCTTGGACCTGTAATTCCCAAGCCATGATTTTGTTTGTTTGTTTTACCATATTTACAGTACCAGACATGAATTCCCTTCTGGTGGAACTGGGATCAATTCTATCAAGAAACAGGTTGGTTATTCCTATAAGCAGTCATGCCAGAATTGCATGAGTGTACACATCTTGCCTAGTTGGTTTGCATTATTAAGACCTGTTACAGGGAGTGGGGTTCCTTGTTCCAGCTGCCCAGCTAGCTAGCTTATACCCGAAATAATTACACAGAAACTGTATTAATGAAAACACTGCTTGCCCATTAGCTCTAGCCTGTTGGCTAACTCTCACATATTGATTTAACCCATTTATATTAATCTGTGTTTACCATGAGGTCGTGGCTTACCGGGAAAGATTTAGCATGTCTGACCTGGTGTCTTCATGGAGTCTCTCTCTCTCTCTCTCTCTCTCTCTCTCTCTCTCTCTGTCTCTCTCTCTCTCTCTCTCTCTCTCTCTTTCTCTCTCTCTCTCTCTCTTTCCTTCTTACCAGAATTCAGTTCTGTCTTCGCCTACGTAAGTTCTGCCCTATCAGGCCAAGCAGTTTCTTTATTAATTAACCAATGAAAACAACACATAAACAGAAGGACCTCCTACACCAAAGACCATTGACATTCTTTCTGTCAGGCACATGTACAGAACTTTGTAGTATATAAAAGCTAGCTGGCAGGGAAAGTTCTCTGGTAAATTCAAGATTACTCTCTATCTTGTAAACAAAGTGTTTTGTGTCTTCTACAATGCCATGTACTTATGGTGGCCAAGGAAGAGCAGTGGAAATGAAGACTTGTTTTGGTGGTGTGCCTCTGTTGTTTCCGAATCCAGAAATTTTTAGGCAGATAACCAATACCTGGTAGACTGCATTTCATTTAATAACTCTGGTATCTGTTAGCAGTGTTATTTACCTGCTGTGGAATACCACTGTTCACAGTTTTAAAAATTACATTTCCTTTTAACTTGTAAGACTCTTGCATACATTTTTTTTAACTTTCTTTTCGTTTTATTGAGAAAAAAAACAATTTCCGCCTCCTCCCAGCCTCCCACTCCTCCCCCCCACTCCTCTCCCCGCCCCCCACTCCTCTCCCCCCACTCCTCTCCCCCTCCCTCTCAAGTCTGAAGAGCAGTCAGGGTTCCTTGCCCTGTGGAAAGTCCAAAGTCCTCCCCCCCCCATCCTGGTCTAGGAAGGTGAACATCCAAACTGGCTAGGCTCCCACACAGCCAGAACATGAAGTAGGATCAAAACCCAGTGCCATTGTCCTTGGCTTCTCAGCAGCCCTCATTGTCCGCCATATTCAGAGAGTCCGGTTTTATCCCCTGCTTTTTCAGTGACAGTCCAGCTGGCCTTGGTGAGCTCCCAATAGATCAGCCCCACTGTCTCCATGGGTGGGTGCACCGCTCTTGGTCCTGACTTCCTTGCTCGTCTTCTCCCTCCTTCTGTTCCTCATTGGGACTTTGGGAGCTCAGTCCAGTACTCCAGTGTGGGTCTCTGTCTCTATCTCCATCCATCGCCAGATGAAGGTTCTATGGTGATATGCAAAATATTCATCAGTATGGCTATAGGATAGGATCATTTCAGGTTCCCTATCTTCAGCTGCCCCAGACACTAACTGGGGACCTCGCCTTGGGCACCTGGAAGCCCCTCTAGGTCCAAGTCTCTTCCCAACCCTAAGATGGCTCCCTTAATTAAGATATGTGCTTCCCTGCTCCCCTATCCAACCTTCCTTTATCCCAATCATCCCGTTGCCCCAAGTTCTCCCCATCCTACCCTTCTCACTTTTCTCTCCCCATCTCCCCTTACCCCCCTCCCCCCACCCTTAAGATCCCGATTTTTGCCTGGCAATCTTGTCTACTTCCCCTACCCAAGAGGATAGCTATGTTTTTCTTTGGGTTCACCTTCTTATTTAGCTTCTTTAGGCTATCCAATTACAGACTCACTGAACTTTATTTAAGGCTAGAAACCAATTATGAGTGAGTACATCCCATGTTCATCTTTTTGGGTCTAGGTTACCTCACTCAGGATAGTATTTTCTATTTCCATCCATTTGCATGCAAAATTTGAGAAGTCATTGTTTTTTACCGCTGAGTAGTACTCTAATGTGTATATATTCCACACTTTCTTCATCCATTCTTCCATTGAAGGACATCTAGGTTGTTTCCATGTTCTGGCTATTACAAATACTGCTGCTATGAACATAGTTGAACAAATGCCCTTGTCAGATGATCGGGCATCTCTTGGGTATATTCCCAAGAGTGGTATTTCTGGGTCCAGAGGTAGGTTGATCCCGAATTTCCTGAGAAACTGAAACACTGCTTTCCAAAGTGGTTGCACAAGTTTGCATTCCCACCAGCAATGGATGAGGGAACCCCTTCCTCCACAACCTCTCCAGCAGAGGCTATCATTGGTGTTTTTGATTTTAGCCAATCTGACAGGTGTAAGATGATATCTCAAAGTTGTTTTGATTTGCATTTCCCTGATAGCTAAGGAGGTTGAGCATGACCTTAAGTGTCTTTTGGCCATTTGAACTTCTTCTGTTGAGGATTCTCTGTTCAGTACAGTGCATACACTTTATACCCAAACACAACAGGGGGAATAAGACAAAAGACTGCTTTAACATGATTCAACGGACAAATAGAACAGTTATTTGCTTCAATACTTTGAGACATCAAGTCAATAGCATTCTGTTGCTTTGTAGTAAACCCACTCTAGACCAAGTATCCTGAAGGCTTCCACTCCCAAGGTCAAACCTCCTAATACAAAAGGAGCAGAAGTATGCTTGAATATCCTGACCATTGGTCAGGATGGAGTGAATCTAACCATAATGGGCCATCTTAATGTCAAAAAGATCAGGTGACCACACCCTAGGACATGAGGTATAGCCACACTTGTTGTCAACAACTTTGAACAAGCAAAAATTTTCTGACCTTCAGACAAGATGTAAATAGGATCACATTTTTGGGCCTCCACAGAGTACATAACATTTTTGTCTTTCTGGGTCTGGGTTATCTCACACAGGATGATTTTTTTTCTACTTCCATTTGCCTGCAAGTTTCATGATATTATTTTTTTTGCCACTAATACTCCATTGTAAATATATAACACATTTTCTTTATCCATTTTTCAGTTGAGGGGCATCTAGGTGGTTTTCAGGTTTTGGCTATTACAAATAATGCTGTTATGAACATGGTTGCATAAGTTTCCTTGTGGTATGATTGAGCATCTTTTGGGTATACTTCTAATTGTTGTATCTCTGGGTTTTGAGGTAAACTGATTGTCATTTTTCTGAAAAATCACCATACTGATTTCCAAAGTAACTGTATAAGTTTGCACT